GAACTCCTAAGCACCCATAAAATAAGTTAAATAGCAATATTACACAAGAAAGAACACAATAAACGTGCATAGGTTTATGAACATACACACAAGTACATATTAAATACAGCAGGTGTAAACTTTAGAAAACTACTCACAAGCCTGTCAGCATTCTTCAGCACTCCATTTCATTACAGACATTATCCATGAATCACTAAGACAAATGAAGATGATACACTTTTCACTTTGGATACCTTTTCCAACAAAAAGGGCAAAAAGGAGAGACTGAGGGGGAGGGAGGAGCTGCTTTTCTGTGGTGGAATATTTTCCAACAAGGAAGACATATAACTAGATTTCTATAATTCTGGATATGTCATTTTGTTCTTGCACAGAGAAAGCTGAAAGGAGTGGCCTGCCCATCTCCCTTCCCTCGGGTAGAAGGGTAATGTGCTCATTAACTTCCAGGAGGCAGTGAATTAGCCCAGAATGGGTAAAGAGCAGTACTGGAAAATACCGTATTTTCCAGCCGTGTTTCCTGTAACTTTAAACTAATTCTGGACTGGCATAGTATGCTTTGGCAGGGGAGTAAAAATGATGATCTAATATGTCATTTGACCTCTGTCACTAATTTCTCTGATCTAAATAACATTTTATGCTTACAGTGTTTTAAAACTCAATTTCCTGAAGACTGGTTTTAGGTTTAGAAAAAGTCACCATGACAGTAGCTATCAAACATATAATGATGCTAAATAAAGCCCTGAAGTGCTTTAAAACAGGAAGAAGTAGCTCCAGCCCCTTTATACTTCATAAGAAAGCTCAGGTGCAAACAAATGCGCATTAGAAGGTCAATGCGGTAATTACATATGTAGTGTTCACTGGACAAAAAATGCACACTAAAAACAACAGTCACGGGGATAAGAAACAGAGGTGATATAACTTGCAATATTTATTATACATTTGTCTACTATATACTAAATATGCATTATTTATTATTTATTCTAAATATAATGTGTGCGTATACACAGAGAATCTTTGAACTCCACACAATAGCATGGATACACAATCAGAAGACTCTTGCACTGAAAGGAGGAAACAAGAAAGCAGATTAGCTCACAAAGAACCAAAGAACTGAAATGACGTGTTGATATTTCCTGAAACCAGTCTGAAGATGAGCAGCAGAGTTTTGGATGGAGTGCAAATTTTTCCAATACTTCCTTTGAAAACCAGGCTGCTACAGCATTTTAATAATTCAACTCAAAAGCACGGAAAACAACTTTGGTTTTTGCCAGGTTGAACTGGGGTGGAGGAAAAGGTCCTCACAGACATTTATAAACAATTTTAATTCTTGTGCATGCCCCAATCAATGTATGGGAGAAAACTAGTTCTGCAACCTGCTGTTCTCCTCAAGTAGAAAAGGCTGAAATAGTTATAAATCCAGATATTTAAAAATTCAGTAAGTGAAAACTTGGTCTATAATGAGACACAAATTCAGAGTAGAACAGCAATTCATGAAATACAGCCAAGCCTATGCTCCTACACCCCGTTTTGAAAAAAGACTCCCATTGATAACTGCCTGTTAATTGACATAGAGTCCTAAACAGTGGAAACTGCATAATCCCTTTCATGAACTCAGGGAGAGAGGGTGCAAACTGAGGGGGTGGCAACAAGAAGCCCTGTACAAAGGGGATCATTTGTACTCCATCCAGTGAAGAAAATCAGAGTGCATGCCTTTAAGTAATCATCTTCTAATGATGTTTTTTTTTCCCCTACTCGCTGAAGGGCACTCAGCACGTGTGTCAGCACCAGCTTCTGGGAGAGTTTGTTGGGTGACTGGCTGCCTGGAATCAGCACACATCTCCTCACCCTTCTCAGCATCTCTCAGTTTGGAGAGGGAAGGACACACATACACACACACAACTTTCTTCTGATCTTTCTTGATTTAAAAAAAAAAAAAAAAAAAAAAGAAAAAAGAAAGAATTGAGAAACATATTCCTTGCTGTCCTCATTGTATTTGTTGTCATTTAATCCTGACAGCTTCATTTCCAAATGGTGTAGTTTAATAATCTGAGGGAAGAATTTAAAAATGATTTTGTGTGAAGAGTAAAGCAGTAGCAGATGTATATGATTGTTCCAGTTTACAGTTATCACTGTAAACCTCTTAACTGGAATTTACCAGAGAATAAAGACAGGGAGAAAACCCTGAAATGTAGTTTACAGTTTACTAAACTGTAGTCTATGGGGGGGGGGGGGGGAAGTTAAATAAAACTGAACTGTTTTGCTGATTAAAATTATGATGCACATAAACAGTGAAACTCACCACACTATTATGATTGTCAGAAATTAGTAATTTGGGGGTTTTTCTTTTGGTTTTACTATAAAAAAGCATAAATGCCTCAAAGAAACTACTTTTCAACAGCTTTAAAAGGAGCGATTTCTCTGATTTAAAGTATTACTTTCTTGTGCCCATGGACATTCCCTAATGTTCTTAGACATTAGTCAAAAATTGTCATTAACCCTTTACAAGTGAAACAAAGCAGACGATGTTTCTGATATTTTGGCAACGTCTGTGTACCTTCTTGAAAAAAAAAAAAAGGAAATGGATCTTTTTGTTTAATAAGGTAGCAGAATTTATCTTTTTAAGATTAAACACATAGTGCACATTGAGTACATCTAAATAACATGAAGATCACAGCACAGGAATTCAGTTACCATGAATTTCATAGCAAGCTGCTCTTTAATCAGGCTACTCTTAGCTCTTCAAGTGTCCCAACCTTAGACAATCTAGCAACAGTGAGAGCCGAAACTGCATTTCCTCCTTTTGTTACTCTGTTTCCACAACTTTCACGTTGTAGCTTGGCTTTGTGTGCCTGTCCCACATCTTCAAGGGAAGGCCAGCAAACGAGCTGCTCGACTGAAAATCCTGTCTCTAATGCTTCAGGGGTTCGGGAAGAAGGGGAAAGGACAACCCACCACTAGCTAGGGCCCAGAAGCTGCTCTGCAGCTGGATTGGGGCACAGTGCACCACAACGCTGCCCTGGAGAGAAGTCATTCTGAGAACGTCTCCTGAGGCTCCAGCCTCTTTCCTGCATCTTGTGGAAATGAGACGGGATGTGAAAAGGCATTTGAGGACAGTTTGGCTGACGAAAAGATAGTCCCTGTTCGTGAGGTTTGGTGAGCGACTCGGTTACAGCCCCGGGAGTAAGTGCACGGCAAGGCAAAGAACCGTGGTGCGGCAGCACCGCGTTCGGGGTGTACCTAAACCCCTCGGTCCTTGCGGAAAGGCGCCAGGAGGAAGAGAAACATGGTTGTGCCTCGCTGGCTAACATCGAGGAAGCAACAAGATGTCAGTGAGGCTGTTCTGCTTCCTGTTTGCGAAGCGTACACACAACATACACACACACACATTCCGCCACCCCCGCCGCTTTGTGCGGCCCCTGCACCGCGCTCCCCTCCACCCCGCGCCCCGGCCCCGCTCACTCCCTGTCCCGCTCCCCGCCTCGCCAGGAGATGCGCCGGGCGGCGGGGGCTGCGCTCCCGAGGAGGCCAGGAGGGGAGGCGGGGGCAGCGCTCAGCGATGAGCTTTTGTTTGCCACTGGCGAAGCGATCCCCACCTCCTGCGTCCCACCCCCTCCGTGAGGAAGCGGGACTGGGGGCAGGCAGAGCGCCCAGCGGGACGGCGAGGGGCAGCGGGAAGGGAGCTGCCCGCCGGGCGTCCCGCAGGGGAGGAGCTGCCCGGCACTGCGGCCGGGGCTGGGCGGGCTCGGCACGACCCCAGAGAAACACACGGCTCCCTCCTCTCACACACGGGGAGGACGGATGGGAGGAAGGGCCGCCGCCGGGCCGGCCCGCCTCCCCGCCGCTTTGTCACTGAGAACCCCCCGGTGGAGGCCGGCGGCAGCTGCCGCCCCGCCGGACCCTCCTGCACGGCCGCGCCTCCCCGAGCAGCGGGGGAAGGCGAGAGGGAGGGACGTGCGAGGCTTGTAAACCACACGCTGCCATCGCACCTCCCCTCCTCCTCCTCTTCCTCCTCCTCCTCCTCCTCCTCCTCCTCCCTCTCCCTCCCTCCCTCCCTCCCTCCCTGCCTCTCTCCGCCACCCATTGTGCGCCCGGCAGACGGCGGGGACCCAGCTGCCCCGTGCCCGCCCCCGAGCGCAGGGCACCCCCGCCCTGGCGCGGGGACACGTCAGGACACACACGCGTGTCCCCCGCAAGGCACAGCCGCCCGCCTGCCCCCGCCGGTCGGGACGAACATCATCAGCCCCCCACACCTCCCCCCTCCGCGCACCAGAACGACTGGCGGCCGCGACCTGCTATAAATAAGGCTCTGCCGGAGCGCGGGGCCCGGCTCCCCCCGCACCTCCTCTTATTATTCATCATCATGCAGCCTGGGAGTGGGAAACTCCGCTTCCTACTTGCCGCTACGCTCCGACCGGCTCAGCCCCCGCCCCCTTTCCCCCTACCCCTCCCCGCCTCCGCTGCTCGCTAAGCTCCTTAAAGCCCAAAGAAACTTTGGGAAGCGATTCAGCTCGCGTGGGGAGCCGGGGTTGCTGCACGCCGGGGCAGCCCAGGCGAGAAACCTGCCCAACTTTTCCTCCTGCCGCCAGCACAGCCCGCGGAGCCAACCTTCCGCCTTCCTCCGCGGCGGGATTTAAAAGGCGACCAGCCCCACGCGCGGAAAAGCTGTGGCGAAACACGCACGCACGCACACACACACAGAACCCTCCCCTGGCTCTGGGCAGACAGTGGCGCACGCCCGGCACTGCTCCTTCCCCCCCTAAACCCAGGGCAGCTCCACCGTTCCGAAAGGGACGGGGGAAAAAGTTTGTCCGCCCCCCCCTCCCCAGCCCGTGCGAAGTTGCGAAGCGCTCCGACAGCCCCCCGTCCCACCAGCGACCCTGTCACCGCCGAAGTTGAGCCGAGCCCCGTCCCCCTCTGAAAAGCCACGGAGGCGACCTCCAGCTCATCCTGGAGAGCGATGCGGACAGCCACCCCTCCGCCCCCCGGGCCCGCATCCCCCTTACCATGATCAGCGTGTGGTTCCTCTGCTCCGCCGTGGCGGACTCGGCATCTTGCTGCTGTTTGCTCTGGTGCTGCTGCTTGCTGCCGCCGCCGGTGCCCGTTTTCTTGGCCCTCTGCTCCAGGGTCCGCTGGTAGAGGCTCACCGTGTCCCTGCGCTCCAGCTCCAGCTGCTCCGCCTGGGCTTGCTGGTACCTGCTCTCGCAGTTGACATGGTGCCGCCGGCAGCCCTCGATGCGCTGCCTCAGCCGCTCCACCACCGTGCTGTGCTTGGGAATGCCGCCGCTATTAGCGTTATTGTTACCGGGAGCAGCGGCAGGAGGGCCGTGGGGAGTGCTGTTAACCCCGATACCGGCCCCGCCGGCCCCGCTGAGGCTGCTGTTCAGGTTATTGTTGATGCAGATACTGCTGCCATTCGCGGCGGCAGCGGGGGCTGCAAAATCCCCCATCCTCTTCCCCGTGCACACTATTTTGGAAGAACTTTTTATCCTACACTTCACACACACACAGTCTCCTCTGGTGTCCTGATGGGATACTTTTTAGAGAACCGGGGAGGGGGGGGAAGGGGGCACCATCATCTATCAGGGAAACAGCGATCCCAAGCAAATGTTTCTCTTTCCCCCCCAGCCAATCCCTCTCGAGAAGCTCCAAAACATTAAAAAGAGAGAGGGAAGGGGGGAGGGAAATAAAGAGAGAAGGTGCTAAAAGGTTATCACCAGCAACACAACCAACAAACACACGCACACACACAAAAAGCACAACAAACTAAGCAGCAGCAATTCGGGTTAGCAAACTCCAGGAGATATCAGACCAGTTCCTTTCCTCCTCTTTCTTTTTTATAATCCATTATTTCAAAACAGATTCCGTGAGATTTCCGGAGATTTTGCCAAAAGCCTTCTCTCCCCATGGATAAGGAGAAACACACGCGCCCCTCCACATGCACACACATACACATGCACACCCGCTCACACGCACGTTCGCACACACACATCCAAGCACAGGCACACGCTGGGCACCCACGGCACACTCACTCGCACTGCCCGGCATCAAAAGACAGGCACAGCCGCTTGCTTATTGTATTTTCCTTCTAGAAAAAAGTTTTGGTGTTTATGCCGCACCGTGTTCGCAAAGTACTTTGGCTGCTCAGTTGCATTTCAACAGGAACCTAAATAGCAAATCCTCGGGCTGGGGGAAGTAAGCACATGAACAATCCGGGCCGAGCTGGAGAGAGGAAAAAGAAAAAAAAAAAAAGAAGAAGAAAAAAAAAAGTAGAGCTCTGAAGTCTCTGCCAAACGCCGAGCTGATACAGCCTAGCGCTTTGCTCTGCCGTGCTGGCTGCTGCTCCTCCTGCCACCATCACAATGATCAAATGCTCTCCTCCTCCACCTCCTCCTCCTCCATGCGAGCGGAGTGATACCAGGGCAGGAGCGCTCAGTAAACACCGCAGCGGCGGCGGCGGCTCCTCCGGGCCGTGAGGCAGACCCGGGGACAAGGTGCAAAACCCGGCACGGACGTCGCCCAGCAGGAGCGGACATGGCGCTTCTCACCCCGCAGCGCTCACGCCCGGCGGCGGCGGCGGCGGGGCCGGAGCGGGGCCCACGCAGCACCTGCCGGCCCTGGGGCTCCCCGCGGCCTCCCCGCACCCTCCCCGCACCGCGGGGGCGGCCGCTACCCCGACCCCGGCCGGCACACGGGGCCCGGCGGCGGTGCCGGTGCCGAGCCCCGGGCGGGGAGCGGCGGGAGCAGCGCGGGGGGACCCGGCGGGCTGGGCTGGGCTGGGCTGGGCTGGGCTGGACTGGGCTGAACCCCCGCGCCCGGAGCGGCGTGTGCCGCGTTTCCCCTCCTGTGTCAACTGTTGCATAATGAATGGGGAGCGGAGAGCGCGGAGCCCTGCGCCTCCCCGGCACGGGGCTGAACTTTCTATTTTAGACAACAGAAGAAACATGACACGTTGGGGCAGGAACGTTTTTGTTGTCTCTTTTTTTTTTTTTTTTTTTTTTTTTTTTTTTTTTTTTTTTTTT